TTCCATGCACCAGAAGCAATATGCACAATTTCCCTCACAGGGAGAGTCATGCCCTCCCCTTCCCTTTCTTTGTTGATGGCTGGAATGTGGACATGAGGATGGCCTACCTTGGACCATATGGTCTGGGCAACACCCTAAGTAAGGATAGCAGAACAGGAAGACAGAAATGCCTGGGTCTCAGATGACTTTGTAGATTAGGCTCCACATAAGAGATTGGACTTTTATATAAGGAGCTTATTTAAAGAACTAGGGAGTCTCAGCCTGGGCAACATAGTGAGACCTTGTCTTTACTAAAAAAAAAATTAGCCAGGCATGGTGGTGCATGCCTGTGGGCCCAGCTACACGGAAGGTTGAGTTAGGAGGGTCACTTGGGTCCAAGCGATCGAGGCTGCAGTGAGCTATGATCATGCCACTGCACTCCAACCTGGGTGACAGAAAGAGACCCTGTCTCTAAAAAAAGAGAAAAGAAAAGAATTATAGGGTCTCTATTACGTATGACCAACCTATGTGCTAACTAATGCATAAAGTGAGAGAAAACATTGTCCCATGATATATTCTCTGTATAAAGAAAGCCCTGTAAACATTGAGACTCTGGATTAGGCTGTTTGAAATGAGTGCCGTTGCTAGATTTTCTTGTCATGATAGGCAAAAAAATCCTATTTCATTTTCTTGAGATTATATAAAAAATTAAGGTTCTGTTGCTTATAATTGAGATTCCTGGCTCTTTCTTTAAGGCATATTCGTTTTGGAAGAACATTTTTGCCCTACTTACACAAATCTGATTTGGTTAGTTTTCTAAGAATTAAGGATTAGTTTGCCCCCAAAGAATATTCCTGATTAAGACATAGCAGTTCCAAGAAGCAATTTTAGCTTTGGAGGCAAGAATGTAAAAGTTTGACTTCATTGGAAAAAGGTGACTCAATACTGACTAGGGTTTTTTTCTGTTGTTTTTTATGAGACAGGGTCTTGCTCTGTCACCCGGGCTGGAGTACAGTGGCATGATAACAGCTCACTGTAGCCTTGACCTCCAGGATTCCAGCAATCCTCCCACCACAGCCTTCCAGGTAGCTGGGACCATAGGCATGTGCCACCACACCTGGCTAATTTTTTTTCAAATGAATCATAGCCAATTTATTCCAGTTCTTCAAAATTTATACTCAATATCTTGTTTCTAAAATGTACATCACTCTTTATACAATAGTTTTATAGTTTTTTTCTTTCATTTATGTATGTTTTAAGATGGAGTCTTGCTCTCATCACCTAGGCTGGAGTGCAATGGCATGATTTCGGCTCACTGCAACCTCCGCCTCCTGCGTTCAAGCAATTCTCCTGCCTCTGCCTCCCAAGTAGCTGAGATTACAGGCACCCACCACCATGCCCAGCTAATTTTTGTATTTTTAGTAGAGATGGGGTTTCACCATGTTGGCCAGGCTGGTCTTGAACTCCTGACCTCAGGTGATCCATTTGCCTTGGTCTCCCAAAGTGCTGGGATTACAGGCGTGAGCCACTGTACCTGGCCCATAGTGTTTTCATCTTTACAGTTTTTCAGTAGAAGGCAGACTCTTGAGTTGCCCAGTTAGAAGCCTGTGACCTGCTATTCTGATTTTCTTCTCAATATTCATGGCCAACATCTGGCTTCTAAAAGAAAGGTTTTTGGTCTTTTCAATCACTTACTGATAGGGTGAGACTGCATTATTACCCATAACCACATGGCCTAAGTTAGAATCAATCTAGGCATCCAGTCTTGCATGTCTAATCAAATTTACAGCCCACCTTTCAGTTTCTTCTGGAGTCATGTTCAGTTTATCTGCCAATATGTTAATGCTGATATATTGGTAGCTGTAACAGAAAGTCTCAAATATGAAGAGATGGGTATTTTCAGTGAAATCCTCAAGACAAGCTACCAAGAAGTCACTCACGAACACTGATTCACATTCCCTCAGCTTTTTCTGAGCCCCATCAAAGTCAAAGTTAACACACAAGCATTCCACAAATTCTGTAATTGGGTCTTTATATGTGTAAAACTCCTGTTGAATAACTGACTAGATCTTTTAGTGCACCTGCTGAAGTTTTCAAACAGCCTTGTTTGTTATAATTGCTGTAGTCAAATAGTGAGGAATGTGTGGACACATTGTCTGAATTGCATTAAGATACTGTGATTGGTAAAGGAAGAGATTAACAATATTATTGTGACCTTTGGGGTAACTGAAGAAAACAGAGACCAGTGAGTGAGCCATGTTCTCTGCTGAAGAGACTGGAGTGGGGAACTCACAGAATTATTACCTATCTGTTGCTGGAACCTTCAATGCACTAGCAAGTGAAGCAAAACACAGCTAATCTGTAAATTAATAATTCATCAACACTCTAAAAATATATATTCTACTGCTCCTGATTAATTTTCACACTCACATTGGAATTTTGCCTATCTGTACAGCATATCTAAATATCCCTGCCTAAAGCCATGCTGGCCCGCCAGGTAGTCAAATAGCATCCTACCATCCCTGGTTGATTGGATTTGCCTTGTAGTTGCTGGATCTTCATACATCTTCACAGCTGATTCTGTTTCTGCCTGAGAAATGCTTTAAGTTTACTCTGGGGAAAGCTAGCCTCTGAAATCTTAATGCAGACTTGGGATGTAACTGTGGAAGACCTTACATGGATAAAAGAGACCAGCCTGGCCAACATGGTGAAACCCCACCTCTACTAAAAATACAAAAATTAGCTGGGTATAGTGGCCGGCACCTGTAATCCCAGCTACTCAAGAGGCTGAAGCAGGAGAGTCACTTGAACCTGGGAGGTGGAGTGTGCAGTGAGCTGAGATCGCACCACCACATTCCAGCCTGGGAAATAGAGCAAGATTCTGTCTCAATAAAAATAAAATAAATGACTAAATAATAAAGCCTTAGTTGGGATAAGGCTGGACTTGGTGGCTTATACATGTAATTCCAGCACTTTGGGAGGCTGAGGCAGGAGAATAAAACTTGAGGCCATGAGTTTATTATTTAAATAACAACAAAAAAATGAGCTGGTCATGTTGGTATGTGTCTGTAGTCCTAGCTACTCAGGAGGCTAAGGTGGGAGGATGGCTTGAGCCCAGGAGTTCGAGTTTACAGTGAGCTATGATTGTGCCACTGCACTCTAGCCTAGGCAACATAATGAGACTCTAATATGGTTTGTCTGTGTCCCCACCTGAATCTCAAATTGTAGATCCCATAATTCCCATATGTCATGGGAGGGGCTCAGTGGGAGTAACTGAATCATGAGTGAATAAGTCTCATGAGATCTGACAGTTTTATAAAGGGGAGTTCCTCTGCACATGCTTTCTCTTGCCTGTTGCCATGAAAGGTGTGACCTTTTTTTTTTTTTTTTTTTTTTTTTGAGATGGAGTCTCACTCCGTCACCTAGGCTGGAGTGCAGTGGCATGATCTCAACTCACTGCAACCTCTGCCTCCTGGATTCGAGTGATTCTCCTGCCTCAGCCTCCAGAGTAGCTGGGACTACAGGTGCCTGTCACCATGCCTAGCTAATTTTTGTATTTTTCTTTTTTCTTTTTTTTTTTTTTCAGGAAAATTGCCTGAACCTGGGAGGCGGAGGTTGCGGTGAGCCGAGATTGTGCCATTGCACTCCAGCCTGGGTAACAACAGCGAAACTCCGTCTCAAAAAAAAAAAAAAAAAAAAAAAGAATAATAAGAAAAAGAGTAAAGAAGAGGAAGAAAGAGAAAGAGGAAGAATTTTTGTATTTTTCAAGTAGAAACAGGGTTTTGCCATGTTGGCCAGGCTGATATCGAACTCCTGATCTCAGGTGATCCGCCTACCTTGGCCGCCCAAAGTGCTGGGATTACAGGTGTAAGTCACCTTTCCTGGCCTGTTCCTCTTTCACCTTCCACCATGATTGTGAGGCCTCCCCAGCCACCTGGAACTCTGAGTCCATTAAACCTGCTTTTCCTTATAAATTACCCAGTCTTGGGTATGCCTTTATTAGCGCTGTGAGAACAGACTAATAAAGACCCTATCTCTATTAAAAATAACAACAACAACAACAAAAACTCAGATTATTTAGAATAATGAAAGGGGTGTTGACGTTTTTAAGCAGGTATGGCAAGAGAGATCCTATTACAAGTGCTCTTACCTTGGGTCTGATAAGCTTCAGAAATGTGAAACATCCTTGAAATTATAAATTATGTGCCTTTTGCTTGGGAATGGATCAAAAGCTTTCCTCAGATTCTCAGCAAGATACAAAAATTAAAGAAATCTCTGCTCAATTAAAAATGAAAAAGAGCTATTATAACTTAATTTTAATCTTTAATCCATATTTAGACAAGTTAGTGGCTAAATTTATTTCTATTTTATCCTTTTGAAAACCCTAATACTACTTATCATTTATATTCAAAAGAATTTGCAATAATTTGGGTTCTCAGCTTTTCAGACTACAGGGACATAAATACAAAAGATAATTAATCTCTTAATTATCTACCATCATTCTAAATCTTACAGATGGTAGTCCTACAAATGACATTGTATTAAGAATTGCTAAAAGATGTGTGGATTAATCAGAAAACTAGACGAGTATGTTTTCCTGTCAAAAAGGGATTTCCGCACTGCTAGGTGTATCATTCACTGCAGTGATCCCCAACCTTTTTGGCACCAGGGACGAGTTTCCACAACTAGGCGTATGGGGATAGTTTCAAGATGAAACCGGTCCACCTCAGATCATCAGGCATTAATTAGATTCTCATTAGGAACATGCAACATAGATCCTCTACACACACAGTTCACAATAGAGTTCACGATCCTATAAGAATCTAATGCCACTGCTGATCTAATAGGAGGGAGAGCTAGTGCTTAACTTGCCTGCAGCTCCCTGTGTGAACCCAGTTCCTAGCAGGTCACAGACAGGTACGGGTCCGCAGCCTCAGGACTTGGGACCCCTGATTCACTGCACATGCAAAAGTTTTATACATTTAGTGGAATCACTGAAGTAAATAATCAGGAAGCATAAGTTCTGGTACCAGTTTTATTTGTAATTAACCACATACAAATCACTTTCCTATAAAATAATGGTTAACATCTATTCCTTAATTCACAAAAATATCACAAAACCAAAATCATTCCCACGATATATTATTATTTAGTCTAGCTTTAATTCAAATGTTGAGAATGACGAATTTGAGAATTTCTTTCATACATAAATTGCTTTCCTTAATTCTGCAGGTGGGTAATCTGGCTGAGATAAGCACTGTCATGTTTCAACCTCAGAGAACAAAAAGCAATCAACAAGATAATGGAGAAGAAAACGCTGGCACGAAAAATAACACTGATGAGAAATAGGCATGTATTAAGTGCAATACTTATGACATCCCTGATGTCAAATGACCAAAATTTAGCCTTAAGCCACTAAAGCACATTTCCCTTTTAAAGCATATACTAGTATAGCACATTTCATTTCACTAAAAGTAATGTTAAACATGAATGTCTTGTAGACTATTTAAACAGCCAGTTAAAATGGCTAAAAAAACCCAATTGTTTTTTGTTATGACTCTTTTTGTGTCTCCCTCTTTTCATTTTCATCTTATGATATTTCACTCAAAAATTTAGTTACCCACCCCAAAGCACATTCCTCTCCCTTCTGCCAGGGTGTAAGAAATGTTAGCATTCTGTCAGTAGAAAATAAACACCGAAGAGGAATTAGCATGTTAATGAACAAAGACTAAGGAAGGTAATACTAACAGCATAAGGGAAAATGTAGACCATAAGCATCTGGTCACTTATCATGTACATGTATCATGTCAACCATCATATATTAAATCTTCCAGAGATTGAGTACTTTTGTTTTAGTATGTTTAACAATGTCAGTTTCGTGGGATTTAGTCTCTGTTCCTGGACTTTCTCTTACAATACGGTCACAGAAAAACAAACACTGGAGCATGGTTTACAGAGAAATACAAAACACATACAAACATCATAATAAAATAGCCATTTATATCACTATTAGAGAAATATTTTAGAGAAAACATACTTTCACTAGCGGCCTCAAATGCCATCATCCACTTATGTTCTTTAACTATCAACTTTGTTTTTCTAAAAGATGTGGTCTCGTTCTGTTGCCCAGGCTGGAGTGCAGAGGCATGATCATGGCTGCCAGCTGCAGTGAGCTATGATCATAGCTGTGGAGAGCTATGACTACAGCTGCAGATCACACCTCACTACAGCCCCGAACTCCTAGACTCAGTTGATCCTACATTCAAGTGATCCTTCCAAGTAGCTGGGACTACAGACTTGAGCCATCACGGTCAGATATAGTTTTTTCACTTTTGTGGAGATGGGGTCCTGCTGTGTTGCCCAGGCTGGTCTCAAATTCCTGGGCTCAAGCAATCCTCCCAACTTCAGCCCCCTGAATTGCTAGGATTATAGGGATGAGCCACTATACCCAGCAACTGTCAACTTGTAATACAAAAATACCTTCAAGCTGATAATCAAGAACACTTAGTGACTTCAAAAAGCTGACAGAATATTTCCATGCAACACAAAACAGTTCTATACACAACTTTACAGTTTTAAAGGTCTTTGCTGGCACTTGACTTTATAGTTAACACAATGACTACTGATATCAATGAAGTACTGTTTTTAGCTTATATATATTTTCAGTATCAGTATTACCTCACAAAACAGTAAAGAAATATCACTTCTGCTGTAGAATTCTCTAAGATGAACACCAAAACTGTGCAGGTAAAACATATTGAGAATCACATAATTTTTTAAGGCAACAGATAAAAATGTATACAATCCAGTGAAATTTATACATGTTCAGTGGAAAAGAGGATTACTCCTCTGATTCAATGAAGCATGTATCAGCTTTAGAGCAACAATACAAACCCACAAAGCAAGTTACTTTTTTTCTTTAAGTTTTTAGATGATTTGGTGACACAACTAGCATATACTTTTTTAGATGAAAATTGGTCACTTTGCAAATATACATTCTAAATTCCAAAATTACAATGAAACTTCTTTTCAAACAGTGGAATCCTAGTTTGTTGTTTGTCTTTACTGTCAGTGAGCTTATAGTTATTCTCTGTATTATTATAAATGAAGTCACCATTTAGTCACCCTAATACACATATGCTTTCTTTTTTTTTTTTTTTTTGAGACAGTTTTGCTCTGTCGCCCAGGTGGGAGTGCAGTGGCCCAATCTTGGCTCACTGCAGCCTCCACCTCCCAGGTTCCAGAAATTCTCCTGCCTCAGCCTCCCAAGTAGCTAGGATTACAGGCACATGCCACCACGTCTGGCTAATTCTTTTTTTTTTTTTTGTATTTTTAGTAGAGATGGGGTTTCACTATATTGACCAGGCTGGTCTTGAACTCCTGACCTCAAGTGATCCACCCACCTAGGCCTCCCAAAGTACTAGGATTACAGGCGTGAGCCACTGCGCCTGGCCTGCACTTTTTTCTTCATAGAAGAAAACAAAACTAAAACTTCCCAAACTATGTTTAACTTATATTTTATAAAGACCCTTTAGGTTAACCATTTTGGAAATCTACATTGTTCTGAAGAAAAAGATATGCTTTCAAAACACTGCCTAGCAATTCGTAATCCTTTTTCTATTATAAAAATTAAAATTCAAAAGTTACTGCCACAGTGCTTATGGCAATAAACAAAATGTAAAATTTATCAAAAGACTAAATTAGTTTTATAAAACATAAACTTACTAAATAAATAAACACTGGATTCTCCGCAGAGAAAATTATTAAAAGGTTGCTTTGAGTGTTAAAATTTGTAGTATTAAATTACCCTCATATTTCAAACATTATTTTTTCTAAACCAAACCAGCTAATCAACTTTTTCTCCCCTTTGGGAACAAAAAGGATATTTAAGATATATTCCAAAACAGTAAAAACAACTTAGTGTTTCAATTCAGTTACAACAAACCCTGCTGATCCTGTGCATTTCACTGAGGTGCCACACGCACCCAAAAATCATCATCAGAAATAGAACTTGAACTTCCTGACTCAGACTCTGGCTCACTGAATCCACCTAAGTCCCATTCAGTGCTAGATTCACTTGGTATTTCTTCTTCTTCAGTGAGGAAACTCTGACCAGGTTCAAGGCAGGAAGGATAAACACGAGCAGAGAGGCAAAAAAAGTTAGAATCAAACTGCAAGAGGCCCAGTGTGGTACCTATATTAATCCATTGGTCTCCCCTAATATCATATTCATACACAGTCACCCGGTTCTTTTTCCATTGTGGGGTGCGAGAGGTGACGAGCAACAATTTTTGGCCATGCTTGATAATCCGGTAGTTATTGGTCTCTGACACCAAGGGAATATTATTCATTTGTCTCCATTCTGCCCTAACTGGGTTGTAGACCTTCATGACTGGGATGTCACAGATACAATAGATCTCCTCATTGAAGACACACGCTTCCTGAAAGTCATTGCGCTTCAGAGAAACGCACTTCAGCCACATATTATGGCTAGGATCATAACAGAACATGCGCTTACTGTTGAGAGCATAGAGATAGTCCCGAATTACCAATAGGTCAAAGGATAAAAACGAATGGGGCAGTGGAGCCACCAGTGCCCACTGGTTTCTCTTAACATTGTAGCATTCTACTTCCTTCAATTTAACTCCAGTAATAGGGTCTCGCCCCCCCAAAATGTAAATGTAGCCATTGAGGTATGCTACATCCATGCCCTCACGACACAGCATACGATCTGCAAGTTGGTGCCAACTATTCTGACCTGGTTTATACACCCAGAGATCTGTCCTGGGCTGGGCAGCTAGGTAGATGTCGTGCTCTGGAGAGATACAGACAGCTAAGGTAGTGACAGTCCTAGTGTGAGCAAGACAGGTCAAAGGTGAGGGCACTTTGTAAAGGTCCCCCGAGTACGGATCACAGCAAAGAAAGGGATCTCTGGGGTGTCCAAAGAAGATCAGCATCTCCTTGGCACACATACCCAGCCTCTGAGGTGGATTTTCTGCTGCAGGTACGACAGAGTTGTTGTTGTTGCTGCTGCTGCTGCTGCTGCTGCTGCTGCTGCTGTTTGGCACTGGCATCAGAGACTTGTACAACAAGTCACCATAGCGCATCTGCAGGGCCCCTTCAATAACGTCCAGGCAGTACTTCTTCACTATGGGCTTGGTCAGCAGCCCTTCTAAGTAGTCCTGATCTTCTTCAGTGAAGTGCATCCAGCGCACGCACTTGAAGACTTCTGCAGCACTGGGACCCCGCTCTTTGGGAGCAGCCTCCAGCCACTGCACTGCTACGTGGCACACTGTCTGCTCACTCTCCACGTCCAGATTATCCAGGCGCAGGACAGCCAACAGCTGGGCCAGGGTCAGATCTGCTAGAGTCTCCTCCCGAATCGAACCCATGTGACTGAGCTGCTTGAAGTTGTGAGCTATATAGGACTGGGCCTGAGATCGCAGCTTGCGATGGCCAAAGGCGTCTGCAAACTTGAGGATGGCAGTGCAGTTGGTCAGCTCCAGACGTCGGGCTAAGAAGGAGGCACAGGCTTCCCGCACATACTCCAGCTGTAGCATGTCAGAGGCCGCGTACAGGCGCTCCACGTTGGCCTCACTGAGAGACACACGACCCGTGTAGCAGTAATCGACCAGCACCTCGAAGGACTCGGCGTCCACATCGTGGATGGTCACACTGGCCTGCTGGCTCTCGTACATGCCACCTGTGAACATGCTCTTGAAGTAGGGACACGCAGCCGCTAGCACGTTGCGGTTGCAGGGGAACAGGCGACCCGTGCCAGGCCCGCTGCCAGGCGTCACCACCTCGATGGTCACATCACACAGCAGCCGCGCGTCATAGAAGGACTTGAGCTGTGCCAGCAGGGCGGCAGAATGGGCCGTGTCCTTTAGTTCCTCTGGACCCGTGAAAAAGGCCGAAACTGTGGGTATGTGAATCTTCTTGGGCCGCTTCCCACCGCGGGGACTGGCGAGGCGGCGAGAGCGCGGGGCGTCCTCCCGGGACTGCATGGTGGAGATGGCGACGGGCGCTGAAGGCGAGAACCGCTGCGGGACCCGGCTCTGGCTCCTCCTCACCCTTCCCTCGCTGACGCTAAGGTAGCAGCGTGTCCGAAGAAACCGGAGCACGAGCCCATTTACTGAATTCAGCCCAACCCCAAGGAGCCGCCTCCCTCTATCGTTTAGACAGTGGCTGACTCACCCTCTCTCACTCCCGCGTCCTTTCTCCGCCTCTGCTCGCCTTCACAGGAACCGCTGGCTTGGAGCCGCAGAAGCTGCTATCGCCGCGTGGGCGACAACACTAGGCGCCCAGGAGAACTACCGCTCCCAGGATGCCTTTTGCGCCCCAAGGGCTGCTGGGGCTCTAGGACCCCCGGGCCGAGACTGAGGGTAAGACACCGCTTTGCATGTTGGGAATAGTAGTTTGTGTAATATCGCGATTCTTCTCTGATGGTCCTTATTTTATTGACGACACTCGAGAGCGCCAATCTTCCTAGGTTCGATTTTGTGGTTTGGAAATCTGGTTCTGGAATCCAAAGTAGTCGCCTCGTTCTAGTATGTATTGTTTGACTTCTGTCTGAACTGTTTCTTCTTCTTTTGTGAAATGTGGGAACAGTAGTATTTCATAGGATTGTGTGAAGATTAAATGAGTTGGTTATAGGACGCTGTTAATATTTGTTGGTTTGTAGAATAGTCACTTCTTAGATTGTAAAGGTTCTATAAGTTTTAAGTTTTCTTCCAACCTTTATAAAAAAAAAAAAATGAAGCACCACTAATTTGAAATTATGAGCCTGTAGGAAAACGAAAAACAACCCCCGAAAACAGAAAACCTTGCAGCAGAAAATCCCTTTTAGGGGTGTGTGTGTGTTTTAATTAGTAGGTTTGATTCTTAGGTTTACAGAAAAATTGAGCAGAAGGGACCGGGAAGTTCTATATATCTCTTCCCACTTCGCAGTTCCCTTATTAACATTTTGTATTAGTGTATGCATCCGTTAGATGTGATTTTTTTTTTTTTTTTTTTTTTTTTTTACTCACTATGCCTCTCCCTGATACCAAGAGAGAACTCAGAGTTTGTAGGATTGGTTGGCTGTTGCTGCTGAATTAGATCCCTGGCTTATCCACAACTGCCTGTCCTTACTTGCCATAACTAAAAGGAATTCACCTCCAATCGCCTGACTTTGAGACTTTTCGTCCATATCTGCATTTCAAAACCTGAAGTCCTCTCCAGCCTCTTCTCCCACTCTCCAATATTCAGTTCCCCTTTCCCCTTTTTACCCAAAAGAAAAGACATACTTTAGGGGGTCCTCACTACAAAATACAATGGAAGCCAGAGGCCTGGTGAGTAATTTAGCATCCTTTTAGACCCAATGGTGCAAGCATTTCTCCCCTTGCTTGTATGAAGTTGCTGCTCCATCAGAGCCGGCTTCATTTTGAGTCATTCACTCAACCTTTATGTACCCCATGCAGTTCAGACGTTAACAATTACTGAAAACACCAAACACGTTTCCACTTCTCGACTCACTTCCTGTGAAACCCTGCCACTGTCTTCCTCTCACATCGCTGTCCACCATAGTCAAAACAAGCCTCTCTTCTTCCCATTCCCTCTGAAAGACAACCTTGTGACTGTGTCACCATCACCCAGTCTCCTACATTTCCTCACCCCGATATCACCAGAACTCCTCTCAGAGAACTTGTTCTTTGTAGATGGTTCTTACCCCAGGAGTACAAATGGGGAATTTTAAGCAGAATACACTATTGCAGATTTTCAACAGCCTATGAAGCTGAAATCTCCACCTATGTTAATTTGGCCCAAATCATTGAACTCTTAAGCGCTCACTCAAACTTTTATGTTAGCACAAGATAAGGGAACTAACATTTATACAGACAGCCAGTTTACTTTTGGAATTGTACATGATTTTGGTATGCTATGGAATGAAAGTTTTATGACAACGGAGAAGTACCCATCAGAACCCAAGTCACTAGTGTATTTAAGTCTTTACAGCTATCCAAGCAATTAGCTATTCTCAAAAATCAAATCTCACACTAGTAGCTGGACTGACAAAGCTAAAGGAAACTTAACTGGCTGAAAATATGCTAAGGTTGCTGCTTCTCAAGAAAACACCTCCTGAATCACTTGTATACTTCCCCTTGCTCAACCTATTCTTTTTTTTTTTTTTTTGAGATGGAGTTTCGCTCTTGTTACCCAGGCTGGAGTGCAATGGCGCGATCTCGGCTCACCACAACCTCCGCCTCCTGGGTTCAGGCAATTCTCCTGCCTCAGCCTCCTGAGTAGCTGGGATTACAGGCACGTGCCACCATGCCCAGCTAATTTTTAGTATTTTTAGTAGAGACAGGGTTTCACCATGTTGACCGGGATGGTCTCGATCTCTTGACCTCGTGATCCACCCACCTCGGCTTCCCAAAGTGCTGGGATTACAGGCTTGAGCCACCGTGCCCGGCCTGCTCAACCTATTCTAAAGACAGAAACTCTTAAGAAATTTGAGACATAACAACTGCCAGCACCTGAGGCTGAAAAAGTGAAAAAGAAACAAGCTAATAGTTTTATCAACTCAGGTGGGTCTTGGAGACACCCAGACAACTGTTTGATATCTCTTGGTCCCTTACCCAGAATTTATTCTGCAGCCTCCATGAGATTACACATTATGGCAAAGAAAATCTTACAGATCTCCTCTACAAACATTGTTAGGGATGTCCTAATATTGAGCAGGTAACTTCAACTTGCCCCATCTGCCAGAAACACGATCCTAGTCAACATGTAAAGTGGGGTAGGGATAAGAGCCAACTCTGTGGTCCTAGTTTTCATTGGAAAATATATTCAGCTCTCAAAATCTCATGGGTACAAATACATTCTAACCATAGTTGGCATGTTTTCAGCGTGTTTAAAAGCTTTTCTCTGTAAACAAGCTACTATCACCACTGAAGTTAAGCTCCAGAAAGAATTTTCCCCTCTTGGGGATCTCTATCTCCAGTGGAGGAACTCCCTTCAGTACTAAGGTTATTCAGGATCTTCAACAAGTACTTCCACTGTTACAAAAACGGCAATCTCCTTACCAGTCCTCTGGAAAAATGAAACAAGCAGGCCATTGGTACTCTTAAATTCAAACTAGCCTAAATCTCTAAGGAACTCAGCCTGCCCAGAGTCTCAGGCCTCTTGGTGCTTGACTCTTCTGTTATCCCCAATTTCTCAGCATGTACTAAATGAAACTTAATTCTTAACCTGATTAATGAGTCTCTTGAAATTTCCTAACTCAATGACTCCACTTTCTCAGGATCAAGTGTAGGAAAAAATGTAGGAGCACTTTTATCCCTAATAACCACCATTTTCTCTTCCACCACCCTAACCAGCCTTAGAAACTGTGTTCAGTTCCACACAAAGACTCTGCTCTCCTGAGGGATCCACCCAGTTGTTAATCCCAGTAATTGCTAATAATTACTATACCTCAAACTCCAACTGTTCCCCTGTACCACTTTTCATGCCTTCCCCAAGGGTATTTGGACTGATTGTCTGGGACTTCAAAATATTTAAAACCACTATCCCATCTGTCAATGGTATGTCCTTCTGGAATTACCTCCAAATTGAGGCAACTACAGGGAATTGGGGAAAACTTTCTAGGGATATCAATGACTCTTTTCATGTGCACCGTGAGGGCCCTTCACACCCACTATGGCACTAATACATTTAAAAAGGGTAGTTGAAAAAAAAAAAAAAGATAGTTCAAGCCTCTCCTTTACCTTTGTAGAAGGAGAAAATTATACCACTTTGGCCCTGGAAGCACAGCAAATAAGCTTAAACGCACAGACTCAAGTTGTCATGCCTAATCCTACAACTTTCAGTTTCCTTCTAAGACAGGGAGATATCTGTGCCATAGCCAAAATCTCTTGTTGCACTCGAATAAACACAACAGGATATGTGAATGCTTAGTTACTAAACTCAAGGAAAAGGCTAGTTGGCTTTCTGAGGTAGATTCAAAGACCCTGAGACGTGTTCTCCTACACAAGATTTAGAAATAGAAGATCCTGGTTTTGAGCTGTATTACAAACATTACTAATTGACATAGTTTGGTTATTTGTCCTCACCTAAATCTCATGTTAAAGTGTGATCCCCAGTGTTGGAGGTGGGGCCTGCTGTGAGGTGTTTGGATCGTGGTGGCAGATCCCTCTTGAATGATGTGTGCCATCTGTCCCCTTGGTGATAAGTGAGCTCCCAGTTTGAGTTCCCACAAGATTTGATTGTTTAAAATTATGTGGTATCTCACCCACCCATCCTCTCTCTAGCTTCTGCTTTCACCATGTGACATGCCTGCTCCCACTTCCCCTTCCATCATGATTGTAAGCTTCCTGAGGCTTTCCCAGAAACCAAGCAGATACTAGTACCATGCTTCCTGTAAAGCCTGCAGACTCTGAGCCAATTTAGCCTCTTTTCTTTATAAATTACCCATTCTCAGGTATTTCTTTATAGCAATGAAAGAATGGCCTAATACAGGAATTATTTTCCTGATTGTAGTCTTATATACCTTGCAGTTGGGCAGTACATTATGCCTAGTCTTAAGTGCTGCTACACAGCCATTTTTCTTCACAAATTTTTCAACAATATATCATGATCTGGTAGACCAAAGGGTAACTCTGCTTCCAACTGACTTCCCAGACAGAATTTCAGTCTGAACTGACTTTACCCATGGAGATCAAGATCATGGTGTTAAGAAATTCGACAAAGTTGTGTTTTCCTAAATCTCCCTACTCTTTTGTGCTCTGGGAAATGGCTTATACAATAAACCATCCTTCCCAAATGATGTAGAGGACTTTCTGTCCACTTTTTCTCATGCCTACCGTAAGACTCACTGATGACCTCCCTACCTTGTTTGCCTGTGAAAAGGTCAAACACAACCTTTCCATTTTTGACTGAACCTGCTGGCAAGACCAGACACAAATCTCCCACTTCCTGTTATTTATCTCATGAATCATTAGCTGAAACTAGAGCTATTAGTCCACCACATGCCCCCCAAAACCCCAAACTAGCTAGACAGAAAGATAAATATTTTTTGTGCAGCTGACTGAGATGTCCTCTGTTTACAAAAACAATCCCAACTATAAATCATTCCATTTAAAACAAGTCTACTCCTCCCTATAAAGTATAAGGTAAAAGCATTTTGCCAAGCACCCTAATCTTTGAATGTGGGGTGCTCTCCCTATTGCAATAGCCTGAATAAAATCAATTTATTTGCTTGTTTGGTTGATAATACCTGCCTTATACCATATGCAAAAATTAATTCAAGGTAAATATTAGTACTGTGGTGTTATGATACATATGTATGTTTTCATCCACGGTCCTGGTTCATAACTTCCATAGCCCTTG